CAGACTGAAGACTGGTGCTGTTAGTCTTCCCATGGCTACACCTTCCATCATTCTGGATGGTTGGAAAAGGCAAACAATGGCCGTTTTGTGGCATGGCAGCAAAAATACTCTAACAAACATGCAGCCATGGTGGAGCCGGGGGAGCTGGAAGTGGGACATGCACCCAAAAGAAGTGCTTCAGATGGGTAGGAAAAATTCTTACACGGGAAGTTTGAAATGATCAAAGACACATGTAGAACACAGAAAAACAAAAGCATTTGACTCATTGTGTAAACTTGCTGCAACACATTTCTAAGCACATTTATGGGGAAAACGTTGAATGTGGGCTCACGAACATGCATCCAAGAAGTCTGGGTTTGGAGTAGATGACATTTTGCTTTCCCCCCCAGATGTGTAGTATCTCTGGTGAGCTGCCTGGCTTTCCTTCAGATCACTTAGCTGCTTGAGAAATGACATCAGGGGTGTAGGTGGTAACCCCCCAAACTTTGCTGGGTGCTAGAATAGAATGCATGAAGATATTTCATCTGCAGGAAATGATTTTCGATTCCCAGATGGAATGACTACATTTTGAAAGAATGGAAACTTAAAAATGCTAGGTTGCAGTTACTTAAGTTGTCTTACATGAAGATAATCTATTCCAAAAATATCTCTGCAGTTTTATCTTCCACATGTGCATTATGATGTAATGGGATGTTAATTAGCGTTTCTTGTCCATATTGCCCAATCCTGGATGATGTTTTGTTTATGGGGGTTTTTTTTCACTCCAAATGTGCCCTATGGAATATTTCATGACAGTTTGCTTCTTGGAGTGGGATGAAATCTGCATTTCACTCTCACAGCTGCTGTTCCTGTTATTTTAGTCTTTGGAATTTATCAAGAGACCCTGATGTGATAAAACCACATGAGTGCAGCTCTGGGAGCCAACCTTCTTCCTTTCTGAAATCTTAGAGTGTTCTTTCCAAGGCAGGGCAAGACAACATGGAAAAAATGTCGTTTTAATCATAAATGCATTCTCTTTCCAAAAAGAAAAAGACAGAAAGAAAATGGAAAGCTTTCTGTGGAAATGTGGTAGTTTTGTTTAATAAACTACAAGTTATTTCCTGCATAATAGAATGTACTTTTCTTCTGTTATGCAACAGGCAAAGCCAAAGTAAAAATTCTGAAGCAGAATCTTTTCAGAAAAATGTTACATATTCCTGCTCAAATGCCTGTGTCCTTGATTTAGCTAGGAAGCCATTTTGACAACAGGGTGGATGGAGGCAGGCCCATATACCAACCTCCAAGCCTTAGCAACAGTAATTAATGCTCTGGTAACCTCCTGCTCAGACTATTGTAACACGGTGGACATGGGGCTGCCCTTGGACCATCCAGGCATTGCTGTAGGTCCAGAACTGGCCCAACCTGCCAGTTTGCTGATGGGGACTGGCAGACGAGAACACATCACACCAGTCCTATATCAGCCACACTGGCTCCCAGTTGACGTCCAGGCCTGGTTCAAGGTTTTAACAATAACATATAAAGCACTAAACCTTTGGGACATGGTTATCTAAGGGATCGTCTCCTTCCATACAAGCCAGCCTGAATCCTAAGATCACCTGCGGCAATCCTCCTCCAGGAGCCCCCCTCGAAAGAGATGGGGGGCTTTTTCTGAGATCGCACTCCAATTACGGAACTTGCTCCCCAGAGAGGAGCTGTATTCATTCTGGCATGAGGCTGAACCCTTTTTAATTGATAATGGTATTTCAATTAGCTGCATCAAGGACTGGCAGGTAGGCATTTTTAACAGTTTTATTGTTGCGATGATCATTTTTAATATTTTTTTTCTCTATGTAAACCTTCTTGAGTTTTTATAATGATTTGACGGTATATAAAACCTTTAAATAGCGAAATAAACCTCATTGTTGGAACTTGGACTCTTCCATGGGGACCCTGCACCTGTAGTCTGAGAGCTGATGGGCCAGGAGGCATCCTCTGAAATCTGCCCAGTTCTGGCCAAAAAGCCACTTGCTGATTGTGTGAGCAGCATAGGCATCAGATACGACTTATAGCATGCGGCAAGGGATTTATTTATTCATTCTATTTCTGTGCTGCTCCATAGCCCAAAGGGCTGTCTGGGCGGCTTACAATAAATTGGAGCTATTCCTTTGACACCTCTGGACATTGCACAGCAACCCTCCGTTCTTAATTTTATCTCTCTCTGAATATCAGTGTGTGCTTATGCATTCTGTCTGTTGGCCTTAAAAGGGTCAAGGTGGACCCCACCCTGCCTCAACAGCTCCGGCGCCATGACTCTCAATACACTGCAGGCATATTCATACCCTGTAAACCCTTCAGTTCACCCATCCTACTTTCAGTTCATGGGCAAAGCAGCCTGATTGATGATGGTGTGAATTATGAGGAGGGAAATGCTCAGGGTGGTGGGGCAGTTAACAATGCTGCTTTTTTAAACCAGGGGCTTGCCGACTTCAATCTGAACATATTTCATGTTTCGTGTGATATGGCTAGCAGCTTCTTTGCAAGGGATAAAAGTGACCTTTCTTCTCACACTATAGCATTACGTGCAGGCAGCCAATTCTAATATTTCCCTGGGAGAACCACCTTTAGATACTGTAATTGTATTTTGTCGTTATTGTTACTATTATACTTTGTGATGTATTACAAAGTATGGATAAGTGTGTGCTGTATTTCATCTTGTATGATGCAACTTGCCCAAAAGCCTTTGAGTTCAATTTGTGGAAAAGGCAGCTGTCGGTATTTTAAATACATAACAGAAATGCATGGAAATTATAGCCACATCTGCTTGCCAAGTCTTCATCAGAGGGGAGCCTTATGATGCAGTGATCATTTGACTGATTTCCAGCATCTGCCCTGTGTAGGCTTTACTTCATTACAAGATTGCCCTTCATTGCCTTGTACAGACGCAGGGGCAGGGATGGGGAGAAACTAGCCAGGGAGAACCTGTTGAAGACCAGCCAGCCAGCCAGGGCACTGCGTTCACGGACCGCAAACTGCTAGCAGCCTGCGTATCCAGTGCAGCAATCTATGGTCCATTTACAAGGGAGGATTACCTTAAATTTTCATTTAAATTCATTCCTTTACTGAACAGCATCATTTTTTTTTTCCAGAACATGGCCAGAGTCGTCTGCTGTAAAGTCAGTGGCAGTGCCTGCATGTTCAAAACTGAAAATAGGTGGCAACCATTCAGAGGATGCAAAATGCCATATTAAATTATTCTAAAGAGGGAATATTAGTTTGCTCTTGCAGCTCTACTGAGTGATCCCGCATGGGCGAGACCCCACAGCCAGCGAGCTGTTGGACAAGAGCTGCAAAATTCCATTGCCCCCTCCGGCCAGCCTCCCCACAAAGCGCCAAAGCGGGACTTTAGGTCGGTGGGTCGTGGCTTCCCTGATTTCCACTCCATGCTCCGGACAGCGACGTGGAATGGACCGGGTGCTCCCGATCTCCTGTGGAAGCATCGGCTTCTGCAGCTGCTGGTGGGGGCGCCTGCCCCCGTCACCGTCTATGCCCCAAGTACAGGGTGGCAGCCTGGATCGCGAGCAGCAGCCCTCCTCCTGCTCCAGGGATCGGGCAGGGCCCCACCCCGCAAAGCAGAACTAGCTGCGTGTGGGGTGTTGCTGGAGTGCGGCCTCTCCTCCCTCTTCCCGGTAGGCCTTTCCTAGTGACAGAAATTTCAAATGTCTAAATTTATTTACGTAATCATTCTGTGCTCCAGCCCATTTTACTTTCCGCCTCTGCTTTTGAGTCACTGCACTTAAACCCATGAGAAGGTGGAGACGTCCTGCGTTACGTTGCTTTGGTGTATACAACAGCTGAATAAATGAGAACAGAATTGGTTCGTAATCATAAAACACGGCGACGCCGATGGGCCGATCGCGTTTGCGCATTTCTCGCAGTCCGCGGGGCCCCTCGGCGATTTCCTTGTTGCATTTGTCTCCTTCTGCAGCATGGAAGTCTTTCACCGCTCAAATTAGTTTTCGCCTCCGGGCTCCCCGTCCGCCTCTTCCTTGCTAATTGCATGATTAGTGTGTTGATACGGTGTGTGTGCGTGAGTGTGAGTGAGATCATAGATCCTTTAGAAAGCATTTTGAAAAGCTGTACCCACTTGACCCTACCAGTAGCTAGACACTTCTCCATTCATCTCCTTTGTTCTTCTGCTCTTTTGTGTTTTCGAACGGCAGGAGAGAAAAAAATAGTGTCTGTGCAATATTGTCCAAACAAGATAAAATCCTGAGATTTATTTTTACATTCTGCTTCATAGCAGACTTCCTGTGAGTGCAAGCCAGCCATGCTTTCTTTCCCTATACCCTTATATTTTGCTGTGTAAGCTCTCACAGGTAGACGTGATTCCTAGCCTTCTGTATGTAGTGATTCTGACCTTGGGATACCTCTTGCAATCAAAGTAATAACATGCCTGTCATTCATTTTTGAGCAGGAATCCACGTATGACTAATTCTTTCCCCCGTAACATCGTGGCTTCTCCTGTTGAGTCATGAACTTAATAAATGTCTCCACTAGCACCAAAGAAAGAATAAAATGCAACCTCAGCATGATGGTCGACTGTTGATTTTGCAGCATGCAAGATCTGCAAACAATAAGATTATTATGAATTACTGGGTAGCCCTGAAATGATGCCAAGAATCGAATTTTGATTATGGCAACCAAGAACGTTCTGGTTGTGAGCAGACAAGTGGAGAAGTATGCAAATCCAATCATCCCTTGCATTTAACTTCCAAACCGAAGGAGGTTTAAGTCCGTATTAAGCAAAGAGACCTTGCCAAAGAGGAGCACCTGGAAGCTCAGCGTGCTTGCTTCGCTTGCTTTCCTTCAGTCTCCTGGGCCGCCACGGATGTTACACTGCCAATCTCATAATGTCCTTGAGTGAGCTCTCCAGCTGTTCCTGACGGTGCTGTCCTTTGCACTGAATTTTCTTACACCTTGATAGAGTACGTCAATTAACCTTCCCCCTTCTTTAATTTCAGGGATCTACCTGTTGGATTTAATCTACATTGATTCAGCATATCCTGCTTCATGCAGCATCATGGAGAATGAACAAAGATCCAATCAAATGAACAATATCCTTCGAATAATTGCTGATTTGCAAGTTTCCTGTAGCTATGGTTGGTATTTTTCTTCTTTACGGATATTACAGTAATATAGGAAAGTAGTTCCCGTGTACCTCATATAAAGATGGGCCTTAAGAGATCATTTAAATCAGAATGTCCACACTGCTAACAATTTAGAGCATAAACGTCCACACTTTTAAACTTTTTTCATTTTCCCTCATTTTTGTTATTCCTTGTTATTGTCTGCTTTTATTATGTGTTTTTGTCATTTTAAACTTTTTTTTCTGATTGTATGATACTTGTACTTTTATCGTCTGTTTTTATGGACTCTAAACCACCCAAAGAGCTTTGGCTGTGGGGCGATACAGAACTAAACGTGTGCATAATCTGAAAAGGGGCCCCATTTTCCAGCATCTTGGGGCTTGTTCATTTTTAACATGCAGAGGATGTTCCTTTCGTTTTCATTCACCCTCTGTGGAATTTCAGTTTTAATGCCAATTTGTTTTGTGTGTTTTTGTTTTTGTTGGCCCAACGCACATTAGCACGGTCAGATCCTTGTTACTCTCCTCAGAGACCCCAAGCAGGAGGTTCCAGATATTGCCTTAATTTCCGGGCCACTTTATGGGACTCCTTGCCTGGCGAGGGGGGAATCCTTTCCAATTCAGATCATACCACTCTTCTGTCACCTTCAGGAATGGGGAAGAGAATACTCAGACTAGCTGTGCCTGTCTCAGAGAAAACAGGCACACAAAGCACTTTTAGGACAGCTGAAAGTGTTCTTCCTCTGATGCAGGCATGAGAACTGGGAAATGTCCCACATGAGATACGGGGGTTTATGATGCCAGGTGGACTGCTAGGCCTGATGTTCTTCTGGCAAGACTTTTCATGGGGACAGTCGTGAGAGAACCAGAGTGCCCATCTTGGGCGTGCTCTCCACCATTTTTTTTCACCAAGCATCCCAGTTCAGCTGCCGTAACGGCCTGCTATACTCTTGACAGCAACCCGGTTAATGGGCCTTCCAGAATAACAGGCAGGGGACAGCATTCCCACCTAGCTGGACAGCAGGACTGCAAGAGCTACATTCACTATGGAAGTATGAAAGACTTAATCCTCCAGCAGGAGGACTTCAAGGTCACTGTCAAAACAGTGGTGCGGGCTACCGCTCTGCCAAGCATTCCGCATAGTGGGAATGAGATTACTTCAGTAGACTGGATTATTGTAGGTGCCTCCAGAGAGCCAGAGTAGATTCTCTGTTGCCACGTGTTAAAATAGGTAGCATTAAGTTTCAGCCCACCGCAGATACACACAGAAATGCACATGCCCACCTGCCCAATCCCCACAAAGCTCTCCTGGCAGGTACCGGCACACCACTGTTCCCGCTCAAGATCCAGGAATTGGCTTTCTGTTCAGTGGAGGCTGATCCTGATAAAGTGCATTATCCAAGAACGTTCCCAGCCCTCTTCAGGGAGCCAGCTTGGCTGAGTGAATGGTATACCCAATGTTTAATAAATAACAAATGAATAGATAATTCAGTTAATATAGAGTTAATAAATATTAGCTCGGCACTGGTGCCTCACAGTGCTAGACGGCAGCCGTAGATGAGCCAATGGGAGCCCAATAGTTCTTGTTCATCTTCAGTTATGCTGTAGCCGATTCCAAAATCGACTTGCTCTGTGGATCTAAGGAGAAAATCTTGCCCTGTTTTTCTGTCAGTCCCCCTGCCGTGTGAATTTTAGCAGAGCCCTCTGTTTCTTCAGGGTTCTAGAAAGTTCAGCTCTCGCACACATCCGCTGGACAGAGTTATTTGATTTCTGGATGCCCCTGGCTATGTGGGCAGGAGTGCTTAGTCTGAGCTGTCTGACCCAGGTGCCTTTCATTCCTTGAAAAGTTTGCACCTTCCACGATTATAGCCACTTCCCTTCTCGCCGAACTAGCATGCGGAGCCGAGAGCTGCAGCCCTGTCCATGCAGTGGGGCGTCATTACATCAACACGGTTGCCTTCTCTGAGGCAGCTTGTGCATCCCGGAGGTATAGACTCCCCCACAGGGGCCAGCAGGAAGAGGGAAACCACCAACGAAACCACCTTTCGTTAAATTGCCCTTTAACAAAAAAGAAGGCTCCGGGCAGAGGAGAAGCTCCTTCCCGTGGTGTCTCCCTGCAGCCCTGTCTGCCCACCCAGAGGAAGCACTCTGCAAGCACATAAATTGGAATGAAAATTCATGGCAAGTTCCTTCTTTCCTTTCCCTGCCAGTCATCTCCTCGCCCAGCTAGTTTGCTTATCCTGATTTTCACGCTAAAAAGAACTGCATCACAGAACGTGTCTTGTCCGTGCGTAGCCTGAGCCAAGGGCACACTCGTCCGTAGCATTCCGGTGTGGTGCTTCATAAACTCCAATCCTTCGGCTGATCCTCTCAGCTTGGGGAAAATATGATCGGGGCCACTTTTCAGACTAGAGAGTGGAAAGAAGGAAAGATTGAAGCATGTGGTTGGAGCACAGGAACTGCTTTTCTTCTTGTCAGCTTTGGGATTTATATGCTCTATTTCTTTTAATGCAGATCATCTTATAACATTACCCCATGTGCAAAAATACTTAAAGTCTGTTCGATACATTGAGGAGCTTCAAAAATTTGTGGAAGACGACAACTATAAGTAAGTGGGATCCCTTCCTTTGCCCCAGTTCATTCCATGGAAAAAACGACCTAGGTGGAGACTTGAATAAAATAGGGTTTGTGTTTTGTTTTTTTAAAGTATCCTGGCAAGGACAGCAGTACATGCTTTAAAAAAAAATCAGATTTATGCAGTGATGATATTTGTCAAGGGCCTGAGTAGATAGATCTTGGGAATGAGAGCCAACTTCATTTCCCAATTAAGGGCAATTTATAAAGACTTGGCATAAACATCAGAGAAGCGTGCTTGCTATTTCATTCACTGCAGTTCCATGCTCTTAAATTGAGGAACACCGTGTGAACACGCAGTGGTTTTGTAATTGTGTCTCGTTGAGGGATTTAAGGGGCTGTTGGTGTTGTAAACAGTTTATGTTATGGTGACATTAAGCTGGAGGACTGGGAGCAAGGAGCAGGTACCAGCAGCTGACAAAACATTGCATTACTAGAGTTTCTTGTACCAGCCCAGATGTGTTTGTTCGAACTCTGCTGCCTCCCTGGCCCAGGCAGCAAAGAAGTCCAGCTGCAGTTTTCACTGGGCTGTGCCCGGGCCTGTCTTGCCAGGGAAATCCTTGCGACCAGTTGCAAGCAGAGGGATGGGGAGGAGAAGTCAACGGCTCCGAAAAGCATCTTCCTGCAGTGGTTACTCCCGTGTGTTGGTGGGCAGTCGATCACCTCCCTCAGGGGAGCAGGAGCAGAGGAGTTGGCTTGTAGTTTCCACCAGTCTGTGGCAGAGGCTTCTGACCCAGGGACGCGTGCGTGTAATTTTGAATTCTTCAATTAAGGCTATATGGAATAATTCTGTGACAAGGGATGGTACTTTGATTAGTGTGAAAGTGGACTCGATTCTATCCGTTCCGCTTCCTCTGAAGTTTAGAGGAGGGAACTTATAAATCAACTTTTTTGAAGGGGCCCGTAGCTGCAGTTGCTCAAAATGTTTGTGAATTCTATATATTTGAAATCAGGAGACAGCAGTGTATGATGTACATGAATTATGAACACATCCACAGATATATTATTTTGACAGGTGTAAGTAACTAGACATTCTTTTAAAAGCCTGATTGTTGTAGTGGACAAAGATGGCTAGAAATATTTAGAGTTTATTTCTACTGGCTGCTACAAATATTTAGAGTTTATTTCCCCAGAAATCAGAAAATTAGAATCAGAATTAAGGATTTTTTAATGCATTGGGACTGTGGAGGAAATGAGTAATAAAGTATGGCAGAACACCCTCCAACCTAGAGGACTTGTGGGATCTGAGGGCAATAAATTCAAAATATATGTAGGGAAGCACTTTAGAGATATTGCTGGAACTGAGGCAGGGCATGTAATTTATACTGACCCTATTATAAGATTAATAGTAGTTTTGTAAAATAAGGATTGGGTTCCCAGGGATGTGGCAGTCAAGCTTATGGCATTGAAATCATGGAATACGGCTATGGAATCTTTTCATGGTCTTCATAGGAATGTGGCAAGATACCTATGTTTGCTGACACCCTGCAATTAAAGTGGGTAATGTGTACAAGTGGACATTCCTTTTTCAATTAGTTAATTATAGGCAAAACTGTTGTCTTACGGACAGTAGAATTAAGTGCCAAAAGGAGGAAGTGGTGGTTGATGGCCAAAAGACCACCAGAACGGGACGGCGTCTCTGATACTTGTTGATACACCATTGAAACGGTCAGGAACTCCCCGCTATTGGAGGCGTTGAGTGTTGTTTTTTGTTATATCGCTATTTTCTATTTCCCCTTGATCCAGAGAGATCTCTGGAGCAGGAACAACAGTGGATAAAATAAACATGTTAGCAATATACATAGATGGCCTTCTTTATACAAGAAGGAAAATAAAAGCACCTTGGGCCAGGGCACTCCTGATGGACGCTTCCTCTGCCCCTCCGAGAAGCATATTCAGAATCAGAACACAGGAGAATTCTTAAAGGGATCCAATTTTACTGCGATGAATTTTGGGACTACCTGAGCAGCACATCCCTTCTCTGTAGGGTGAAGACAGACCCTTGTGTCCCCATTCCTGGCTCTGCATTTTCACTGGAGAGGCTTTTTGGGGCGGGGGGGGGGCAGGTGGGCAGCCGGAGCAGCCCAGGGGTAGCTCCCATCCTGACCCCTCCAGTCTCTTCCCTTCCCTACTCACCAAAGGGCCTTTTCCGCCGTGCCACGGTTGCTTCCAGCCTCAAAGAGGCAGCTGGTGTGATTCTTTCCACGCTGGTAGATCAGAGCAGGAAATCCACATTGTCCCATAGCCCCTTGGATGCTATCTAAAACATAGGAATGCTTCCTATGACAACGTTCAATGGTTTTGCTTATCATATATCTGCCTCTACCAAAACAAAACGGGTTGCCACTGTTGCGAGCTGAGGCTCCTCCTCCTAGCAATCGAAAGCCACCCACTGTTTCCCTTGCAAAGTGCTCTTCATTGACCGAGAAGCACAAATCACCCAGAATGAATCTCTGAGCATGCACAGAGTGGTTTGTTGGACACAACCTGGTATTCCCCTCCTTATGCACATGCCTGAATGGTCCTGACGGGTGTCACCCTTTTCTTAAAGACACATTAAAGGAGCTTAAATTAACATTTGACTGTATCTCTGCATGAAATTCAGGGAAAACACAGTTCTGTAGAGATTTAATTTTGGAATGTAGTCACTGGATGGAAAGTGAGGTAATGTTAGGGAGCAGTTTTAATGCTGTTTTAACCAAGGTTCAGATGCTGCAGCGAGGCATAATAGACGTACAAAAGCGCTTGCTTTTCTCCAAAACTGATCTCATGGTTAAGTGGTAACAGATTCATGGAGACATTGTTATGTAGGGCAAAAAAGATTGTGGATTATAGTCTTGTAGACCTAAACCATACTCCAGGAAATATTATATTTTTATGACCCCAGTATTATTGCGTAAAATAGAGGCGGCTGAAATAGGCCCTCAACTCTGTGGAGATCATGAGTCCATGAAATGTGGAAATTAAGCACACTGCTATTGAAAAAAAGGATTTTGATGGATAAAATGGATCTATATATTAGAGGTTTTCTTAATGATCCATTTGTGACAAACATTTTATTAGTTTGGATTACACTTAAAGCTTGTAAGTGCAGTTCGTTATAGCTGTGCCAGAAGAAAGAGAACAATAGAAACTGTAATACAATTTTGAAAGAAATTCAAAAAACAGAAATGGAACAAAAACACCAGTAGTAATCAAGGGGGTGGAGACAGGAGAAGATGGAGAAGGGTTGGTGGGTGCCTGTTCAGCTGCTAAAACAGCATTTTACTCAAAACAACAAATATTTGAATATATTAACAAGGCAGGGAAGTATACAACCACTCTCTTGAAGGGTATCCAGAAATTAAGCTGTTTGACAAAGTTAGATAGCAATTGAGCGTTTACCTTCCAAGAAATTTACCAATGAGTTTATGAATCTATATAAATCTAATAATCCCTCTAAAGCACAAATGATTTTAATAGTATATATATGGTCTTAATAAAGACCATAAGAGTTAGAGACCAAAGTTTCCATTGAAGAGGTTAAATCTGCAACTGAAAAATTAATATTGGTAAAGCACCTATCCAAGATGTGTTTTTTGGGAAATTTTATCAGGAAGTTAGTGATTTTTCTAATGCGAACACTGCTTAAGGAAATACTCCCCATTCAAACTTCAGAAATGAGTGGTTGCATTCAAGTTCTAATAATAGTAACCCTTTGTTACCCAGAACCCTGGTTCAAGAAGTGAAGCAATATAAGCAAAGCTGAGAGCCAGGACAAGACAAAACAGGAAAACGGCTTGCCAGTCAGTGGTCAGTTAGTGTTACTGTATGTACTTTAGTGCTCGAACTGTGGTGAGCTGAGGATGTATATGTGCAGGAGGGCGAAGTTGTTTCTCTGACCTTGAGGAAAGCAAAATTAAAGAATTACAAGCCACACTGCACTTCTGTAATGCCGTAAAACGGAACCTCTGAGATTCCCATTCCAAGATCCTTTTGCATGTGAGTCAGAGTTCCATTAGACGGCATTTCTGTCTTCCTGCAATTTGTTTCTGGGCCCTTTTTCCACATGGATCGTCTCCAGATTCCTTCACGGTCCTTTAGCATTTTGCAGCTTTGGGATCCAGTCAACAATATTGCTCTGACACTTTAAGTGAAGATATGGCCCACAGTGGCGCCCCCTCCCAGACCGTCTAATTCAGGTTGAATCTGCGCTGAATACCCGAACGGGCAGAAGATAAGCAAAAAGGATCCCCACAAGCTCATCCGCCCAGGCTGTGGCGACGCATGCCAGTTCTGCCTCCCCATTCGTAGTCAAATTGTGCATGGGCAAGGCCTTTGTATGAAGAGACCCTAAGTGGCCCCACTGAAGGAGCGGTAGCCGTGCCACCAGATACTTGTGCACTGGGGGAGGTTAAAAGGGAGACGGCCTGCACCTGTTTGCAACCAGCAGCCCAGGTAGATGCATTCACCCCACATCACCTCGGCCGTGCCAGCACAGCGGGAACCGGGGAGCAGATGGACTCAGGTCCCAGACCCCTCTCCTCTGCCATGCATCTTGCCTCCTGCCGCCCTGTCCGGTCAGTCCTTGCGCCCTCGTTCAGGCAGAAGCTCTCTATTATCAGGAGGGGGAGATGCTGCAGCCCGAACTGGGCACCCCAAGTGACATGAGGTGGCCCAGATCCCGCCGAGGCGATCGCTGTTTCCTCGCTTTGGACAGCAGCTAGAAAAGTCAGTTCTCATTTTGGGGGGCAGAAAATTCCGTTCTACCAATGTATTTGTTTCTGGTTTTTGTCTGGATCCGACTGAACGCAGATAAGGGGATGGTGAAGTTGTTATACAAGAATCCTGCTTACGGTATCACGTCAGTGAGATGAGAAAGCGATTGCAGCGTAGTGTGTCACTCTTCCGAAGCTGTGTGTGTGCATAAGTAAGGCTCTGTTGCCCTTTCGCCATCTGCTGCGCAGATCGCCCAGAGAAGCGACTGTGTGGCTG